GGCACTGCCCATGCTACCTCTGTAGGAAAAAGACCAAAAGCCTGAGTCCTGCTTCAACCATAAAGGTTTTAAAAGCTCTCACCTTCAGCCATGAGTAACATCCACTCCTGAGTTGTTCATGTTAATTTGTGCATGGTCACCACAGGACCTCCAATTTAACTTAATAACAGTTGTATTTGGCTTTTCTTTTGTCAAAAGCTTGTGAGCATACAGGAAAGAGCAAGAAAGAACAGGGCAGAAAAGAAGTGGTTGTCACTCAGTGTTTTCTTTTAGACATTTTTCCCCAAGGCTTGGGTTTCTTCAGAGCACATACAAATACACGGAGGACCACACAGTAAAACATCAAAAAGATAAGTCACTGCTTGAGGTGAGAACAAGTTCTTACGCCAGGTCCAGCTCTTCATGATGACAGTCATGACTTGCACCCAAAGGCCATTGCCACACATCAGCCTCTGCATTGAGATTTTTCTGAAATATTTCTGTGGTTCAGACAATCACCTGAAAACATCTCAAACCACAGGAAGATAGATTAAAGATTCAAGTTTCACTGCATGTTACATCTGTGTTAAGAAAAGCTAACAGTTTGATTCCACCACACACCCCCCCGCCCCAGCAAAGCCAGAGCTCTGGAACCAGCTGCTGGCAACGCTGTGTGGGCTATGAAAGGTCTCCAGAAGAACGTACACCATCTGCCACCACTATGTTTCTGCAACATCCCAAGCAGCTCCTGTTGTTTTTTTCAAGGGCTGAGTGGTAGCTTTGCTGTGGCTGTTACCCTCAGCAAAATGCTGAAGAGCTTTAAAACGCAATACCACCATTGTACTGGGTGAAACCTGAAGTATCATTTTGCGTGTGCAGAAAATGGGTCCGGATATGCTCAGGTGAGGAAAGATGCATCTCAGACTTGTTGGGACAATACAGCCTGCACGAGTAACTGTGAATGCCTACAGGCATAGGTGAGGAATGTGTGGCATGACTCGCGTGGGGGAAGGGAAGGCAGGACACTTGGAGTAGAGCTGACTGATGTAGACCAGATATTGTAGGTCTGTGGTATCTGACTTTTCTGTGAGACTCAAATTTTTGTCTGTTGTGCACAGCATAAGACTTACAATGCCCTTAGCTGTTGCTTTTCTTGGTACATAAGGCAGGCACTTAAGAAGACTTTTAGTACATGAGTTAAAATTCTTTCCTACTTTTTTAATGGAAGTTTGTTTCAAAATAATCTGCAGGAGGTTTTTTTTGTTTGTTTTTTTAGCCTTTCATATGAGAAGACTGGAAGCTGGCTGATGACCTGATTATGTATTTAAGGGAATGCAGTCTTTCTAGAGGAATGCCTACATCAGCCTGCCTCACACCACCAAGGTAGCCACAGTCTCTGCATGGCCAAGTTGACAAAGTATAATGCAGCTACCTTTCACCATATACACTGCCATGGAAGCACTGTACGTGAAATGTCTGGTCCCCAGTGCCTGAACCTATAGCTCCTAGTTTCCCAGGCATGACACCTTGCTAACACGCGATGCACAACATGCACTGCCAGCTTTCTAAAGTTGGAAAACACATAGGTAACAACCGTGATGGTTTCATTTTGAAAGTATGTTTTCAAGGCAAGAACTTAAAAAATTTACGTCTTTGTAAACTGGGTGCTTGACCTACTAAGCATAGATCAGCAGTAATGTGTGACAAATGCAGGGGCTTTGCTAGGGAATGCCAGAGCCCTGCCATTCTAGACACCATGTTTCTGGTCATGTTCTGTTGCAGACATCCTTTGGCAATTGCTTGGTACTAGGCCTCTGGGGCATAGGGGGGCAGATAAATTCCTTGCACCTTTAGAAAGACTTTTGAGCTAGTTTGGAGGTCTAAGATATAAATATACTGTCATCATAACTTACTCTTGCCCTCGCTGCCAAAAACAAGTTTAATTTTTGAAGAATGCCAGCTTTGTAAATACTCTGCTATTCTCAGCTCTCGGAAGAGCGACTGTGTCATTTTTTGTGATGTAGCATTACTTTTTCAGACAGCTAGCATGACACAAGACTAGAGGAATTGGGTGCTGCATTGTTTCAAAAACCAGCTGCTTTAAAGTCTGATAATCTTAAAGTGCTTATTCAGTGTTATCTGAATAAAAAATATTCCAGTATTAGATTTGACTTCAAAAAGCTGATAGCATGATAAAGTTGTTGCTGTTGCACTAAGGCCGTTGTTGCACCAGCTGCTTTGAAGAAGGCTCTCTCTTTCTCTCTCCCCCCACAGGAATTCATACTTCACTAGGTGAAGCAAGCATCTCCAATAGCCATGAGCATTGGGAAGATCCTCGGGTTCCTTTCTAAACTGCAGTGTAGGACAAAATGCACCTTCACAGTGCATGACTGTTTTTACACAAAAATCAATGAAATCTTTCCTATTCCTAACGAAAATAAGTTGCAGACTTTTTAGTTCTTACTGACAGGAGTGGCAGCAGAACTGGCCTGATGGGATCTCCTTCATACATGTCTTTATGCTTTTTTTTGCCAGTGGAAATGATCAGCTGCAGAGTGATTTAGCTATAATGAAAGCATGAAGGACAGTATCAGGCTGTTTTTGAGCTACAGAGAGAAAGATTTTCTGCAGACAAATCCAAGGGGGAAAAAGACCTATTCCTCAAAAATAATAGAGAGTTTCTGAATACTCCTTCAATCTTTCAAGAAGTCTTCATTCTCAGAGTAAACACAGAATTTTTTCAAGCCAAAAAAAAATGTTCCAAACAAATGTGATAAATGCAAGAACAGGGCTTTTTAATAGACTGCACCCTTAACCAACAGAGATTAAAAAATACCTCTCCATAAGAAAGCAGCTTGTCAGTGAGTAGAGTTAACATAGGTACATGAATTCTATGTGTGTCTTCAGTTATGGCTTGAAAGTATCAGTCAGTCCTCAGTAGCAAGATAAGACAAGATCTGAAAACTGCTCAGTGTGTTCACTGGCCTAGCGTAACTGATCTTTTTTCCCCTGTAAGTTCTGAAAAACTGAAAATGTGAAATTGTGTTTTTCAATAAGGTACCACTTCACTGAATGAGAATGAAGGAATAGCCTCTTTAGGAAGACCTCTTACACATTAATTCCCTTGGCTGGGTCTTCTCTGATGGCATCCTTTTCTTCTAAGGTTGTATGCTTTAAATTTGCCTCTTTTGAGAAAGAAGATGGGAATAAGATAGCCTAGGTAGTACATGGGAAGACAATGACACTGGTTAGTCCTTACTCTTGCACATCAGACTCTAGATGAATGGTTTCAGCTTGACGTGTTCCTAAAGTTTCAGTTATGGCTTTAAAAATTGGCCTGGTCCTATGGAAGAAAGACCACCATGTATTAAAGCATTAGTTGAAATGAAAAAAGGTGAACACAATAAATGCAGGCTGCTGTTGGAGGGAGTGGATTTTTCTGCTACTTTCAGACCCCGATGCCCATAGTTGCTGATTAGAGGAGATGGAGGTCCTTCTGGAAGAGGCTGGTTGCTGATGGACGGCTTCAGTGCCTGAGGGTGCTGGATGCCCTGAAGTAGGAAAGGAACTTGTAGCAGAGGCTAACCACAAAGTACCAGATGTTTCGAGCCATCTGTGACCTTGCAATGAAAATGCGCCAGATTATCACAAGGAGGGTGGTGTTGAATGCATATCGGATGTTCCTCAGCCTAAGAAAGAGAAAGAGGCATCTTACAGAGGAAGACAAAACCAACAAAAAGCTTACTGGCTTGCTTAATTTGCTACAGGTAATTTTGTAAGAAATCCTGTTTACAAGTGGCCCTTGGGCTTTTTGCCATTCCTGTTTTAGTGAAGACACTGTGCCTTCGGGGGTTGGACTAGATGACCTCTAGGGGTTCCTTCCAACCCCAAATATTCTATGATATCCCTACCGTCTTGCTAAGGACTGTGTTGAAGTTAGTTAATGGAACAGGTGGAATATCCGTATTGCAAGTCTCTCTTGTTTTGTGTACTCTCATTTCAAACCAGAACAGAAGTCATGCAAAGAGTTTTTTCTTCATGACGGTCTAGGTCTGCTTTGATTTGGTATATTGGCAACGTTTTACTTTGCAGGATTGGTGGCAGGTGAGAGGACTTTTGCAGGAGCTCATGAATAAGGTTCTCCTATTTGGGTGAAACCTTGCCTTTAATGTTAGGAAATTACTCAGTAATCATAAACGGTCTTCACTTTTGCAGTATTGCAGCACTGGGGGTTGCGGGGCGTGTTTACACCATATATTTAAATGGTATTACTGGGTCTTTAAGATACTAATCATCTTGTCCTCTTTCTGTCAAGCAAAAGTTTCTGCAGTTCTTCAACTCTCATTTTCCCAGTGTCTGACCAAGGAAAGAAAGCTTCATACCTAATGTTCCCAAGGCTGGTTTAATTTTTGTTAAAAGTCCTTTTTTTTTTTTTGGGTAAACTTTATCACTGCACTATACCGCACTGCCTGTTTGGACTATAAGGCAGTTACTGGCCTGTTACAGAGGCTCTTATAAATCCTTTAAAAATGACCCATGAACGAAGAACTTGTTTAGAATTCCTTGCTATGGCAACAGGCTGTTTTATGCTTCTAGCATTTACAGTGCACAAGAAAGGTTTTCTTAAAGGAAACAACCAGGCTCTTACTCCAAGAGAGCCGCTCCTTCTCCTTTTGCCTGCACTTCTCAGTAAAATGTCTGGAGAAGACAGGAAGAGCACAATCTTTAACTGAATAGAAGGACATTCTCAGATTGCTCATTCAGACTCTCTTAAACTGTCACCAGGGATTGAATGCATAAGCTCTCCACTGATTTTGGAGAATTTTTGCCCATTCTCCCCAAGGAATCAGAAGCTTCAACTTCAAAATGAAGTTTAAAATCATACAATATCTAAATCTGACCCTTATTTTTCTATTGTAATTCTGAATGACCAAGATCTTCTGTATTCATGTATTCCTCCAATGCATTGTAACTTCGTTACTTGGTCATCTGCTGGGAAGGCATAATATCTAGCCCTTGATCGCTACTGTCATCAAAAGTCCTCTTTTTCTTACAGTATGGAAAAATTAAATACTGACAACCCTCTGCCATAAGAAATAAGCTATGCTATGTTTATCTCCATATTATTCAACATAATTATTGCAACATAACTAGAATATTTTTCCTTCAAAGCCATTCAAAGTAGCCAGGAGCTCTTGTCCTTGCCACTGGTTATGACTTACTTTCGTAAGTGCTGCTTTGCTGCTGGAATGCCAGCCATGTCCTCATTTAGCAAGTACTTCTTAGCACCTAGGCAGTAGCTTTCAATGTATTCTGACCAGTGCAGCTGACGAACATCGAAGTTGTATAACTGGGATTTAAAGACAAAGAGCAGTAGTTAAATGCCAGAGTTCAAAACAAGTTCACTTGAAGCATCAATTCTTCATTGACCTCCATTCCTGACAAGGCCTTCTCTCTGAAGTTCTTTAAGCCACCAAGTTCAAGAAGACATGGGCACTATCAGGCTGTATTTCACAGCTGTCCATTAATGTCTTAACCAGCTGGGAATCTGGGCAAGGCAAGCAGAAATTCAGTGCTAGCTGGCAGAAAATAAAGATAAGTTTGTCTTTCAAGTGGCAATTTTTGCATAAATACATGTATTTGTACACACACATGCACACACATACTATCATGGAAGAAAAATGCCATTCCACTCAGGTAAATGGATTCATATGAAAACCTCCATGAAGTTTTTAATGTGTCATTAGAATTATGTGTAAATAAATGAAGTGGACATTAAGTCAACAGGTGCCTCTGTGTCAGTATTACTCTCTACTGTGCTGCATCCTCAGCAGCTACATCAACAGAAGTCCAAGAAATGGGTTACTCTCGTGTTTGGCATCAGAAAATCTCACTGCAGAGCTAACTACCCCAGTTAATTTCAGATGCTTATACTGGAAAAATTGTTAGCAAGCTCTCAGGCAGTCGTTGGTCTATTAGAGCAAAGAAAGGATCTGCAAAGAGGAACAGGTTTTGTTGTAGAGATTTTTTTTTTTTTTTAATGAACGAGTGAAGTGAATAGCATTTCTTATTTACAGGGTCTTAAAAGGGAATACACTCGGAAAAATACCTTCCTGTCACCCCCATGCCAATCCAACCATTTCCTTTGGTGCAAGAGCTTTGGTATCAGAGCAGCAATAACTTGAGCGGAGAGGGATTAGATAACTCTGTCAAACACAGCAGGGTTAGCTACTGCACAGATCCTGGTGTGTCTGTCAGCTATGTATAGAGATGTGTGCTGCCCATAAACTATCTAGCTTGAATACTGCCCACAATGTGGCAGTGGCAACACGTGCATCCCACAGAGTTCTCATAGGCAGCTTGGTAAGCCTGAAACTCTGTCTAGCTTGCACTAAGTCCTTGATGCTATAATTTTTTCTTTATCTGCCTCAGAACTAGCTCCTATCATACCATTTAGGCGCTCTCTACATCTGCTGTAGTCACAGCAGTGCCACTGCCCTTAGAAGTTAGAATTTGCTGCATGCACTCCCTCTGCAGTCTAGGGAAGAAAACTCTTGATTCTACTACCATAACTCTGAGCAAGAATTTCACAATATGAGTGAGACCAGGTCGATGTGAATGCCAAGTATCTCTTTTCAAGGAGATACTGACCAAAAGTGCATTCAAGCTTATCACAAATCTACTCTTTGTACTCCTTCAGTCTTTCAGCTACAATCCCATTTTTAAGGAGTAGTATTTCAAGACTATAAAGACTACAGCAGAGCAAAGTAATTGCTCTCTGGGGACTTAAATCAAACAGGAACTTTTTTCATATTGTTCAGGGTAAGACACTGTGTGTTAACTAAGTTTCCTTGCACATTAAACCCAATTAAAATCAATGTGCATGAAGATGTCAAAATCTTTCAAGTAATTCCCATCCAGATCACCCAGCAAAAGCTACAGGCCACCAGAAGAGATGAGGGAGAAAGTGATGTTGTAAAGGAGCTTCCTAGTTTTCCAAGAGCAACACAGTTAGAAATTAGGATGAGAAGGTATTGAGAATGCTACACATTTTTTTCAGTGATTAATTAATTACAATGAAACTCTCCATAGCTCATATCTTTGCATTACCATTGATACTGTCTCTCTGGGCCCCTGTACAGCACAGAAGTTAACATCATCATATCATCCTATGAAAGCAGATGCTTCAAATTCTTAGGGCCCAGAGCTGTGATGTGAAAACTAGAATTGGCCTCTTCTTCTTAGAAAGAGAAATACCATGTGTCCATCAAAAAAGGAATGTCCTTAGTTTTCCTATCCACTGGGTATTCCGGTCTACGTAGCCAACCACATGGGAGGTAGTAAAGTGGCCACTGTTACATATGATGCCTTTAACTTCTCAAACTCAAAGGGCTGAGTACAGCTGGGTCACTGAGGATATAAAGTTATGTTCCCTTTGTACAATCCATTTTGTCTGTGGAAACAAATCTAGATTGTTTACAGGCTAAATAGAAACCTGAGAGCAAAAGGTAGAGAGGTGCCGTGTTAACTGGGAAACCTGCAGTGATTGACCTGTCTCGGAAGAAAGAGCAATACACCTCAGGAGGAAACATTCTCCTATAATAAATGGAAGGTTCCTGATAAGTTATTTAATAAAACAAGGAGGAAATAAATAAATTATTTCATGTTAAATTCCAGTCATCTAGACAGATGTCATTCATAAGCTCAAGAGTACACCAAAAATAATTGCTGCAGATGAACAGAACTGGAGTTTAGCAATCCATATTCAGGACATACTTACCTTTTTGTCCTCTGTGTTAAGGTGACTCATTAACATATTCATATTATCTGAAGACCAATCCCAGGACTGGGTGGAGAAATACTGCAGGAGCATCATAGACTTGTGCAGTCGATTGATAATCTTCATCATTCTGAAACAGAGGAAGAGGGTCAGAGGTGGATAGGAAGACTGACCTCGTGCAAAAGCTGTTGATATACTCTGTCAGTGCTTTCACCAGTCCAGATGAAACAGGCATTGCAATTCCTGTTGAGCACTGCACTGGTGCTTAGGAGGTTGAGAACTTGCTCAGCAAGTCTAACTGCTTCAGCTGAGTCTTGAGCCTACAGCTACCCAGCTTTTATTGTTGGCTGGAATATGAGTGCAAACATGCATTTCCCAGGGCAGGACTGATGCCTAACTTACTGCCCTGAACTAACAAGGGTTGGAGGCCATATCTACATCATGTACCATGTGTGAGATGAAGAGCCCATCTGAAATGGTATGAAGTCTGCACAGCAGATTGCAAAACCACAAAGGTATACTGCTTGCCTACTGAGGTGAATACTTCTCTTTCTACCACACAAATGCTTTTCTGTTCTCTGAGTTGGCTCCTGAAGCAAGGCTCTGATTTTTAGAGTTAGCTCCAGTACAGAGGTGACTGCATCTGCAGCATGGACACCCTTTGAAGTCAATTGCTCAACTTCAGTTTTCAGATAGAATCATAGAACGGTTTGGGTTGGAAGGGACATTAAAGATCAACTAGTTATACTCCCCCTGTAGAGGGGGGGCAGGGACACTTTCCACTAGATCAGGTTGCTCAAATCTCCAACCAACCTGGCCTTGAACACTTCCAGGGATGGGGCATCCACAGCTTCTTTGGGCAACCTGTTCCAGTGTCTCACACCCTCACAGTAAAGAATTTCTTCCTAATATCAAATCTAAGTCTGATGTCTTTCACTTTAAAATTGCTGCCCCCTCGTCCTATCACCCTGATAAACAGTCCTTCCCCATCTTTCCTGTAGGCCCCCTTTAAGTACTGGAAGGCCACTATAAGGTCTTCCCAGAGCCTTTTACAGGGCAAACAACCCCAACTCTCTCAGCCTGTCTTCACAGGAGAGGTGTTCCAGCCCACTGATCATCTTTGTGGCCCTCCTCCGGACCTGCTCTAACAGGTACATGTCTTTCTTAGGTGGAGACCCCCACAGCTGAACACAGTACTCCAGGTGGGATCTCACAAGAGCCAAGTAGAGGGGCTGAATACAGTCCCTTGACACGCTGGCCATGCTTCTTTTTATGCAGCCCAGGATACAGTTGGCTTTCTGGGCTGTGAGTGCTCATTGCCAGCTCATATTCAGTTTTTCATCCCCCAATCCCCCCAAGTCCTTCACTGCAGGGCTGCTCTCAATCCACTCATCACCCAGCCTGCATCCATGTTTGACATTGCCCTGACTCAGGTGCAGGACCTTGTTGAACTTTATGAGCTTTGCATGGGTTCACCTCTCTAGCCTGTCAAGGTCCCTCTGGACAGCATCCCTTCCCTCTAGAGTATCAACCACACCACTCAGTTTGGTGGCATGCTTTTCATGTCTTTGGGCTTCTTCGATCTCTCGCTCTAAAAAAAAAAAAGTATTTTTCTTAAAGGCCATTCCTCCCCCTGTATAATACAGCAGCAATTTGGAGTGGTTTTTGTGTCCTTCCTTATACAGGAAGAGTCTGATGGCACACACTCCTGGTGGATGACCTTCAAAATCATCCAAGTCCATAGACTTTTTTTTTGGGGGGTAGGGAACTGTTTGAAAGTCTTTCTGGAGCATGAGTGTCCCAGTATTTCAGGGAACAGCTGCTTAACAGGGACTTTGGGAATGTAGGTTTAGGTGTCTCATGTGTCTTGGCCTTTTTTTGTTATTCTTTTTTTATATGAAAGGGGATGACAGCAATGCTGTCCTACCTTGCAGGATTATTTTACAGTTGTCCCAATGGTTATGAGTACAAAAGGCCTCTGGGAGGCAGCTGTTTTAAAGTGAGATGTACAGTGCTCGGTGAATTTTGAGAGAACACCATGTTCTCTCAGACTGGATAAGGGCAAGAGAAAGCATTGAAAGGCTGATTTCTGTGGAAAACAGAGCTGTTTTCATGAGAAATTTTGAGCTGCCCAGAGGGTAACAAAGTCGCCGTGACAAATTAAAGGCGGCAGTCTGGGTAAGAATGGTGCCAGGCCGGCCTCTCTCCGTGCAGATGTGACTGCCACAATGATAAGCACTAAGCACAGCAGAAAAAGACACAATGAGTACATCAATTCAGAGGAGAACTGTGCAGCTTACCCAAGGCTAATTGAAAGAGCACTAAAACCTTACACAGGAACTCCTACTCAGAATTAAAGTGGCTTTCATTTTAGAAGCAGAGAAAACCATCAGATTAAGGGAACCTTCATTCTGAATAATTATGTGCACATTGATTGAATGCAGTTTATCTAAACTACTTTAAAATTACTTCAGATTAATCTTCCTGATTGTGCCTGTGTAGGCAAGTACTATGGGGCAAAGCTTTCTGAATATTTAAATACCTTTTAGGAACTTGGGAAACAACCTATATGGCTAGATTGCAAAGATCTGAAGTTACCCCTCAAACTGGCTCCCCAAAAGTCATCAATATCTTTAAAGTGCTGAGGGTTAATGGAATCCATCAGGAAAAAAATTGGTAAGAGAGTTAACTGTGTGTCCCTACTTATGTTTTGAAAACCAGGCATCCTGTCAATGTGGGCAGAATAAGCTCTGACTGTAGAACAAAGCAACATATCTGAGTGGCTAAAAGTAAGGTCAAAAGAGGAATGAAGCATCTAAAGAAGTAATTATGAAAATTGTGGTTCATGCTGACTGACTGTGCTCAAATGTTGTGACCATATTCAAAATATTTACTAACTGGGATGAAGGAATGGTCTACTGAAAAACATCAACCGAGTAGAGCATGCTTTCCCGCAGCCTGTGAGAGGCTATGGCAAAGATTTCTTGTAGAAAATCTCATTCTCCACTGTGGAGCAAATGAGAGGAAAAAAGGAAGTATTAGGTGTCACTGATAGTCTTATTAGCTACACTTCAGAAATGCATCATGTCTTCTAGAAAACTGTTTACAGCAATGATTTCTTTATTTGCTCCTATACTGAGCCTTGCACGAGCCAATTGTCAGGTGCGACAGATTGCCCCGAGAGTCTACTAATGATATCAAGCACATTATTTTCTAAGTTGTAGATGGATGTGCAGCAATAACAGTAAGCCATTTAGGGCAGTTTTGCTAGACATCTGGCAATTTATGTGAAATGAGCTAAGACTTAAAGTAAACTTCTCAGGAGAGGCAATATATAAAAGTCTAAAGCCGAAGGAGATAACTCTTGTACCTACCCTTTGGTAGATGGGGTATTGCAGGAGGAACTACAACTGAGTTCCTCCAAACAACCCTGCAATTCAAATTAGTGAAGGTCATAGGCTAGTCCTGAATAAACCTTGCAAAACCATAACCAGCTCCCAGATGACCTATTCTAGATGATAACTCATCACCTTATGATGAGTTGAGCATGGATACAGTAGAGAACCGAAGCCTGAGTCTTTGTCCTGGCAAAGAACTTTCTCCTTTATGCTTGCAAATCTGGCATAGGGTCACGGAGAGAATTCAGGAAACTGCCATGAAGATGGCTTCTACTTCAATAGATGGCAGTGACAAGTGGGAAGAAAGTTAAGCCTTGGTGCTCTGTTTGAAGCAGTGGGAAAAATTAAAGGGAAACATTAAAGCAGGTTCAGTGACGTATTCATCTTTTTTTTTGTTTGTTTTATTTGATGCAGTTTACTGCCCTTAGACCATAAAGGTCTGAAATTTAGGTTGCCGTGAAAAAAAGAATGAGCTGCTACTATGCTTTCTACCACATTGCAGCAATGCTTGCATAAGCAGTAGCATGTAAGAAGAAAAGGGGAATTATATTAAAAGAAAAAAAAAAGACTTGTTTAACTCACAAGTTCATTGCTGAGCTGTGTTTGGTCAGGTTGCAAATCTTAAAGTTCATGCTGAGCTCTATTTGACATTTAAGTACAGTATTGCAGCCAATGTCCATTGGCTACTTATGCCAATCAACTTTATACAAAATGTCAATTATAATGGCAATACCAAGATCTTACTGCTGCTTGTTTCAATGGAGTTTGGCGATTCCAGCCTATTCTTGCTCATATTCAGTTTACCTCTATTTCTAGGGTAATGCTTGCCTCCTGGATAACTGGAAGTCTTTTTATGGAACAATTTCCCTCCATAGCAGAATGTCAGAAAGAAATCAGAGCAATACATCAGCCAGGGATTTCCCTGCAAACAGCTGAAGCCAGTTTTCTAACTAGCAGGAGCACAGAGCGGCTGACATCACCACAGTGCTGGCATACCACTCTTGTGTTGCACAATAAATTCTCCTCTGTGGTGGCAGGGAGTAAAGGAGGACATTGGCTGAGTTATGTTATTTACACCAGGATTCCTTCCACATGGGACACACGTGCCTGTGTTCCTCCAAGCCATGACACTGCCAAGGCTCAAATACCAATTGTAGTGGCAAACTGTCCTCGTAAATACAATTCAGAATTTATTCATACTCAGAAACGTCCTAGATTTCAGGGTGCTGGGCCAGGGCTGGCAACCAGTAATTATGCATCTGATTTATGGGAAAAAATATTAGAATGTTCTAAACCTTGCCAGTCTCAAGTCCTTATGCAAGCTTGAGTCTTTACTCATGACTCATAGAGGGAATCACATGAGAAAGTTGGAACAGTGGAAATCTTGCTATACAGAGGACAATGTAACTAGCAGTCCTCCTCTTCTGCCTTGGGAACCTCTGAAGTGTGTAAAGATGTGTTGTCCCCCATGTACTGGAAAGGCTGAGAACCCTAGGCTATACTTAGCTACGGCCATGCGGCTCCTTTTGTCTTTGAGCAATCTCCTCAAGACAAGGCCTGGAGATTGGAAGAAGACCAGGGACTCCAGGCTGAGGCAGCCAGTTCTCAGAACTTCTTAGAGATCTGCTCTCCGTAACAGTGGGAGGTATGCAGGAGGCTGAGGCCGTGCGGTTTCTTACCTGGGCTTTCTACCTGTGAGCCTCATGTACAGGTCGTAGAGTATGGCCGGTGCCTTGTGACTGACGGTTATCCAGTACTGGTTTATCAAGTAGTTGGATGTCAAGTGAGCGTTGGGTGTTCGGAAGGCCTGCTCCAGCGGGTTCCTTTTGAATGTAGACATGACATACTGCTCTGTATGGGAACAGGCATTTTACTTAAAGTCAGACACGTAATTTCAGTTGAGTTGGGCACAACCATCCCAACATACTGCAGTAAAGCCCAAGTTGCGGTGTTTAATGTGTTTAACCTACAGTTCTGCAAACTATGTAACAGGGGTTGGACAAGATCACCTCATGGTCCCTTCTGGCACTGAAATTGATGATTCCATCTACTGCCCATTTGAAACACATCTGACTCTAGACTTAATAGGGGCAGACAAAAACTTTGTTATCAAAATGCCAAAACATAATGGAGGAAAAGCAGGTGGTTACAGCCTGAAATGCTTCAAAGGAAGGAACTGCTGTTCTGCTTTCACTTGCAGTAGATGTAGAAAAAATTGATAAGTGTTAACATATCTTCAGATCACTGAAAGCAACCTTTGATCTGCTATCATAAACCAAAAATGACATTTCTAATTTCTACCGAAATTTTCAGAAAGGCTGACGTCAATAGTTACACACATAGGGTGCTGCTTCTAGAAATATTTCATTATATCCTTTCAAACCACATCTGGCCCACAACACCAAATACCTCAACCTGTGTTCAGAGGAGCTCTGGATGCACTAGAGCAGCAAATTGTCACGCATTATTAACTTGAAAACTAAAGACAGTACTAATCTTTCACTCCCATTGCATGTTAAGGCACAAAATATGTTGAGCCTGATTCTGAGCTGTTGCAATGGCACAGCTCTACAGAAGTGGCATCTAGATATGCATATTTGGGGCATTTGCATATTGCAGAGGCTTAATAGAACTGCAGTAGTTGAATATAAGACTATCATCCTAGGGACCGATAAACAGATGGTGCTCCTATTCCTGAGCACCAGTGAGCGCACCAAAGAAGAATATGTGGGGTTTTTTTACTTTTTTAAAAATGAATTTGAGAGTTATGACATCAATCTGTGCTTATATTATAGTTTACTCTCTAAGCTTATGTTACAAATAGAAAACCAGATGAGAATTTACAAGTCACAAGAAACATCCAGATCATCCTTAGATAAGCAGATTCCAATCATAATATTCAGACAGTCCTCTCATGTATCTGCAGTCAGATGATTACTGCACTTCAAGTAGTGATTTTTGCTGTACTTGTTCTAAGTAACAGCAACTAGAGGAGAGTCGTTAGCCACTTTGCTGCTAGGCTTAGACAACAAAGACTTAAAATAGCACAATTTAGTTTTAGTGCGAGTTCATTGTTAATTTTTGTGCCTCGTACGCTGCAAGTTTAATGGCTGAAGACCAGTTCTCCTGAAACTCATCTTGCATCTGAATAGCTAGAACTGACTGCCATTCCTTCTGTTTCACATAGCCACACTGAAATGATGTGATTATATTGTGGTCATCCTGTGGGCTGTGGTATGGAAATCTTATCCTTTGCGGCATGTTCTCTCGCTTAGATAAATGAAAGGTGCAAGTACCGAACCTCTTGCTATATAATCAGAAGTGAAATTTTCTGGAAGATGAAGAATTTCCTTCTGTCTTTTCTCTCTAAACCCCACAGGATTCTGCCTCAAGCCCCAGCTCCGCAGCAGCGGATAAGAACATGGATTAGTTTTTTAAAGAAACTGAGACTTCATTTACTGTTGTAGCTGTGCTCGCCATGTACAGGACCCAGAGCAATCTATCGGGGAGAGGACTGGGTGGGCAGGGGAGAGGCTGCCTCCAGGCCATGAGCACCTGCCAAGAGCTTTGATACCAGGAATGTGCCGAGCGCGCGCATCTGCAGGAGAGCATTTGTGGAGGTGAAGCACAGCATCAGCTGTGCTGCCAGCTTCGGGAGGGAGATCCACACAGGGTGCTGATAAATATGTCAACAGCCTTGCCAGCTATGGAGAAGCTACTCTTCCCAGTGGCAGATTTGGCAGCCCGATTGCCACCTGTCCCAGCTGTGCTGGCAGAGCTGTACATACACGTGCTCTGTCAAAATGACAAGGATTAGCAAAAAACTCCTATTCAAACTTTCCCCTGTAGTTGTGCTTGGGAAGGAGGACTCACTGGAGTGGTTTTACTGAAGATTTGGAAAGGTGTTTTACTCCTGGAAGCAAACTGGCAACAAACAATTTGGGATGGGCTACTGGGAAGGAAGCCACTGTCCTGGCCCAGCTCTTGGCAGTCTGGGTCTGGCTAAGCAGCGTGTGAGGAGTTCCTTCCTTCTGTGTTAGCAGCACAGCCATTTACTAAGATTATACTGTGACAAAGCCCTAGCTGGCTTAAATATAGTGAGACCTGCTCCCAGTTTGGTGAGGGCTGTACATCTGTGACCATTCAAGTAGCCCATGGATCAGGAAAGCAATCACATGAACTCTGCTGCTTCCCCCCATAAGGAAGTTTCTCCAAGAGACACTTTAAATCCAAGTTTACTTACAAACTCTCATCTGCTTATCAATATTTAAGTTTACTTATTTACATTCAGTCACTTTATTTCCTAATGGAAACCTATCAGTTTAACTGGGATATTTTGGAATTGCGGTAATTTCGATAATGTCTGCAGCAGAAGTTTATGGCTCTGTTTATTCAAATCCTGATGTTAATATACTGCAAATCTAGTTTTCAGCTGTAAACTGGTTGAGAAGGTTTCCCTTTGGAAACACGTTAAAGACATTACTGCCTTCCTTTTCTCCTTGCATTTTTGGCACCTTTGGTCAGGATAGCAAGAAAGACCTGATCAGTAAGTGGAAATGCAGCCCTTGTCATTTCAGATCATTGGCTGTGCACCAAATTCTCACAAATCAGCAACACCCTTATCATCTTGGTTACTCAAGGCTTGCAGAGGAAAATGCAGCTGTAGTAAAGCAGCTGCAGTATTATGCTGCGATATTACTCATTGCGAGAAGCACATATGTCAAGAGCGGATGAGATATCTGCTGAAAACTCAAGTCAAATTCTGAAAGTCAGGAATGAAAGCACTTTTGTTTTAAAATGCACATACAAAGGCAGTGAGACCAACCTGAAAGACTTACTGGAAGGAAGTCAGGAAAACACCAGTTTTGCATAACTTGGAACAGTTAATGCTATGGGCGTTTTCTTTATGAACCACCCTTACCCCGGCTTGCACTGACTCAGCACAACTGCACTATCTCCTGATTTCTGGAAAACGTTCAACTTTGCAAGCGTAGCAAGTTTCTTATGCTCTAACAGTTTGGTCTGGGGAGAGAGAAAGAAAGAACCAGACAGGTCAGGCAGGCAGAGGACCCTGAACCAGAAACACACCACCTCCAGGAGCTACTGAAATGACTTGGCAGGTGGGTGGTCTTTCCCTCTGACCACAGCACAAAACCACAGCGGCAAATTCTACAACTCGAAGGCAGGGGGAGAATCAGACACCAGTCTTGCCTAGGTAGACTGTCAAGTATAAATTGAAATTAAATTCTCCCACACTGAACACCATTTTAAAGCCTGCTTTGAGGTTTAGTTTTGAGCAGAAATTGCAAAATGTGTTTCACAAAGTCAGACTAGGAAGACTTATGTTGCAACCAAACAAGAATACACTTCTTCAGTTGTCTGACCACATTTTGGTAACAGCAGGAAAAATGACAGCAGTAATGGAAGACAGTAAGAAAAAAAAAATCCCAAGGCATAGCATTATTTGGAAAAGAAATAAATCAGTTAAGGTTCCTTTTAACACTACAGGTTTGTCTATATCTGGAGGTTGGTAGAGTAAACTGGTCTGCCATGGATGTTTAAGCATAAGCTCTTAACAAGAGTTAGGTATTTTTCAAATAACTCTCTTTCAGATTCTCTTTCTCCTCTCTCCTTCCCTCCCAGCTCATCGCCTTTGTACTCAAAATGTCCCCATCTCAGTCACTTCTGTTCCCTACCCAGGGTGTCTTCAGCCCACTCCTGTCTCAATTTCTCTGTTTGATCTTTCTCTCCTTTCCTCCTCTCTGCCCCCCAAAATCCCTACTCTGTTGCGTTTGCCTGTCCTTCCTACAGCTGGTCCTGGTGTAAGTCTCCCTAAGCAGGTAGCCCAGGTCCTCCGTCTACAAACCCCATGTTTGATTTGCACGAAAATGCTCAGTCCCATGTCAGGTGACTCCCATTCCCCGCCCTTGTTTCTCATCAGCTTCCAGTCTTACTCTCACAACCCTCCACCTTGATGACTGGTTACAGACCCTGTGCCAGCCTGGTCTCCCCAGAC